TAGCAGGCGTGACATTTTCTCGACACCAGAGGGGGTGCGCAGGGGGTGGTCTCCCTATGCGTGCCAGGGTCGTCCAGGCATAGCAGGCGTGGCATTTTCTCGACACCAGAGGGGGTTCGCAGGGGGTGGTCTCCCTATGCGTGCCAGGGTCGTCCAGGCATAGCAGGCGTGGCATTTTCTCGACACCAGAGGGGGTGCGCAGGGGGTGGTCTCCCTATGCGTGCCAGGGTCGTCCAGGCATTGCAGGCGTGGCATTTTCTCGACACCAGAGGGGGTGCGCAGGGGGTGGTCTCCCTATGCGTGCCAGGGTCGTCCAGGCATAGCAGGCGTGGCATTTTCTCGACACCAGAGGGGGTGCGCAGGGGGTGGTCTCCCTATGCGTGCCAGGGTCGTCCAGGCATAGCAGGCGTGGCAGTTTCTCAACACCAGAGGGGGTGCGCAGGGGGTGGTCTCCCTATGCGTGCCAGGGTCGTCCAGGCATAGCAGGCGTGGCATTTTCTCGACACCAGAGGGGGTGCGCAGGGGGTGGTCTCCCTATGCGTGCCAGGGTCGTCCAGGCATAGCAGGCGTGGCAGTTTCTCAACACCAGAGGGGGTGCGCAGGGGGTGGTTTCCCTATGCGTGCCAGGGTCGTCCAGGCATAGCCTCTAGCGCGGGATTGCGTATTACCTTTCGTATCCAAGTGCCAGGCGACGCCGGATATGACCGTCACAGATGACTCCTCAACCCCTCCTCTCCCCCCACACGTCTTCCCCCTCCTTTCAACGACCACAGGGGGCACCTGAGAGCATGACGGCGGTGGTAGTGGTAGCGCGGTTCACGCAAGACATAAAATCAGTATGCGGGGGGGTCCTCGGTAGCGCAATTGGATGTTACCTAACAGCGAAGACTGATAACTGATAGGTTTCTAGTGGTGTCAAAAGAGAGCATCTGATGACTCAGAAGGGAGGTCTGGGCGGCATCCGGACAGCGAGGGCCAGGCTCAGGGCCGCGCTCGTTTTAAGCAAACAGTTATACACTTCGTGCTCTTCGACCTCCCAGAACTCCATTCCCGGGCCACATTTTGAATGCCCGAAGCCAACTGTAGGCCACTTCGTGCTCTACGACTTCCCAGAACTCCACTCACGGGCCACATTTTGGATACTCGGAGCCAACTGTAAGCCACTTCGTGCTCTTCGACTTCCCAGAATTCCATTCCGGGGCCACATTTTGGATGCCCGGAGCCAACTGTAGGCCACTTCGTGTTCTTCGTGTTCCCAGAACACCACTCCCGGGCCACATTTTGAATGCCCGGAGCCAACTGTAGGCCACTTCGTGTTCTTCGTGTTCCCCAAACACAATTCCCAGGGTACATTTTGATTGCCCGGAGCCAGCTGTGAGGCTGAGGCTGAGGCAGGCTGAGGCTGAGGCAGGCTGAGGCTGAGCCTGAGGCAGGCTGAGGCTGAGGCTGAGGCTGATGCAGGCTGAGGCTGAGAGGCTGACGCTGAGGCTGAGGCAGGCTGAGGCTGAGGCCGAGGCAGGCTGAGGCTGAGGCTGAGGCAAGCAGAGGCAGGCTGAGGCTGAGGCTGAGGCTGAGGCAGGCTGAGGCTGAGGCTGAGGCTGTGGCTGAGGCTGCTGGCAAGCTGCGGCTTGGGAGGCAGGCTTGAAGGGTGTGCTGATGCAGGCTGAGGCTGAAGCAGGCTGAGGCTGAGGCTGAGGCAGGCTGAGGCTGAGGCTGAGGCAGGCTGAGGCTGAGGCTGAGGCCGAGGCAGGCTGAGGCTGAGGCCGAGGCAAGCCCAGGCAGGCTGAGGCTGAGGCTGAAGCTGAGGCACGCTGAGGCTGAGGCTGAGGCTGTGGCTGAGGCTGAGGCACGCTGCGGCTGAGGCTGAGGCTGAGGCTGAGGCTGAGGCTGAGGCTGAGGCTGAGGCCGAGGCAGGCTGAGGCTGAGAGGCTGACGTTGAGGCTGAGGCAGGCTGAGGCTGAGGCTGATGCCGAGGCAGGCTGAGGCTGAGGCTGAGGCAAGCCGAGGCAGGCCGAGGCTGAGGCTGAAGCTGAGGCAGGCTGAGGCTGAGGCTGAGGCTGAGGCTGTGGCTGAGGCAAGCTGCGGCTGAGGCAGGCTGAGGCTGAGGCTGATGCAGGCTGAGCTGAGGCAGGCTGAGCGCTGAGGCTGAGGCAGGCTGAGGCTGAGGCTGAGGCTGAGGCTAAGGCTGAGCTGAGGCTGAGGCTGAGGCTGAGCAGGCTGAGGCTGAGGCAGGCTGAGGCTGAGGCTGAGGCAAGCTGCGGCTGAGGCAGGCTGAGGCTGAGGCTGATGCAGGCTGAGGCTGAGGCAGGCTGAGGCTGAGGCTGAGGCAGGCTGAAGCTGAGGCTGAGGCCGAGGCAGGCTGAGGCTGAGGCCGAGGCATGCAGAGGCAGGTTGAGGCTGCGACTGCGAGAACAGCAGAATTCTACAACTGGATTCTCACCTACATCTTAAGGGGAATGCTTTCAAATATGCTTCTACACATCGCTGTTAGGTTGTTTTGCCGGGATCATATTTTTGAATATGTGTTCTGTGTATTTACCTAACAGCTTTTGCTGATAGGTTTCTAGTCGGGCCAAAAGACAGCATCTTGACGCCCCAGGGGGGTCTGAGCGGGATCCGGACAGGGGATCCGGACAGATCCGGCAGCCCCAGGAATCCTTTTTTGGAATCATTAAGAATTTTAATGAATTTTTAGGACTCCATTCCCAGAACACCACTCCCAGGCCACACTTTGAATGCCCGGAACCAACTGTAGGCCACTTCGTGTTCTCCGCGTTCCCAGAACACCGTTCCCAAGCCACATTTTGAATGCCCGGGGCCAGCCGTAGGCCACTTCGTGCTCTTCGTGTTCCCAGAACACCGTTCCCAGGCAACTTTTTGAATGCCCGGAGCCAACTGTAGGCCACTTCGTGTTCTTCGTGTTCCCAGAACACCATTCCCAGGCAACATTTTGAATGCCCGGGACCAACTGTGGGCCACTTCGTGTTCTTCGTGTTCTCAGAACACCACTCCCAGGTCACATTTTGAATGCCCGGAGCCAACTGTAGGCCGCTTCGTGTTCTTCGTGTTCCCAGAACACAATTCCCAGGCAACTTTTTGAATGCCCGGAGCCAACTGTAGGCCACTTCGTGTTCTTCGTGTTCCCAGAACACCATTCCCGGGCAACTTTTTGAATGCCCGGAGCGAACTGTAGGCCACTTGTGTTCTTCGTGTTCCCAAAACACAACAACTCCCAGGCCACATTTTGAATGCCCGGAACCAATTCGTGTTCTTCGTGTTCCCGGAACCAACTGTGGGCCACTTCGTGATCTTCGTGTTCCCAGAACACCAGTCGTGTGCCATATGTTGAATGCCCGAGCTGAGGCAGGCTGAGGCCGAGGCAGGCTGAGGCCGAGGCAGGCTGAGGCTGAGGCTGGGGCACGCCGAGGCAGGCTGAAGCTGAGGCTGAGGCAGGCTGAGGCTGAGGCAGGCTGAGGCTGAGGCCGACGCAGGCTGATGCCGAGGCAGGCTGAAGTTGAGGCTGAGGCAGGCTGAGGCTGAGGCAGGCTGAGACTGAGACTGAGGGCGAGGCTTGTGTAGGAACGATCCTCTACAGCTGGTAGGCCCCCAAACAAAATAAAGTAGCTCTAAAGTAACCCTGGCGGGCACCCGCAATTTGCAAGGAAAAAAGGTCACCAGGGCATACAAATGTAGCTTGGCCTCCGTCAAGACCTCCCGCAATAACTGCGCGCGCCATGTTCGGTCGCGTTGACTTTAGCTCGGCCGAGAATTCGAGCTTCCCCCCCCGCTGTGCGCGCGCGACCCTTGTCGCGCCCGCGTGTTTCCAAGGCCCGATGGCGTTGTGAACTCCCGCGGGAGGCGCGGCAGGCCCGTTCTGTCGGGCATCGTCGCGCGGCGATCGGCGCGGGTGCAATTGTTGCACCCGCGCGCGATCCACCCGCGCCCGTCCGCGGGCGCGCGCGGCGCCGCCGCCGCGGCCCGCGGCGTAGCCCGCCGCGCGTCGCACCCGCAACGAATGCGAAAGCAAGTTCGTGACGAGGTCGCCAACTCAAGCCCGCGACAACGCGGCGCTGCTCAGGTCAAACTTTCCGTTGCAGACAGTGAAGCTGCAAATGGGGTGGGAGTGCGGTAGGCGCCGAGGCGAGAGCGCGCCTCGGGCCCCTCGGAAATTTTCCGAGCGGGGTGCGCATGAATGCAATGAGAAAACAAGCAGTCGCTATTGAAACTTTCACATGCGCGGGCGGGGCTAGTCGGCGGTGCCACACAATTGCGGGGCGAAAGGGATCGCGCGCGGGCAACCGTCGGCGGAGCAAAGATGTGGCTGGCGTTGAGGCGAGAGCGCCCATGACCTATTATACAACAGAAACAAACACGTGGAGCGAACACATGTAAGACAGCGAGATGTAGCGGGGTGTGCGGCTTTCCGCGCGCGCATGATAAGAGTGCAGGTAGCCATCGTAGCGCGTGTGCAATGTATTCCGTTGTCGCGCGCGAAGTGCAGTGTGGTCGCGCGCGTGTTTCGGCCCAGCACGGGAGGGCGGTGCGCGCGTGTGCACGCATGTGCACGTCTGTAGTTCGCACCACATATCACGCGGCACGCGGGGGCCGCATTGCGCGCAGCATGTCATTGCCATTGCACGTTGATTAGCATTGCCGTCGGGGCCCATTCAGCATTGTTCAGCAACATGTTCCCAAGCGTGCCCTCCCAGCAAGTGCCTCCGCATAGCGGTCCATTCGCGCGTCGGAGTGGAACGTGCGCGTTGGTTCGAAGATGCGCCCGTGATCCGGGCATTTGAACGCATCATGGGCCCTCGGGCCCTTATCGGAGCATCGCGCCATCATCTCGTTGGCCAGCCATATTTGTTTATATGTTTGTTTTGCATTCGGTTCTGATACTGTAATGCGTCTATATTGTGGAGGAGGGTTGGGCGGCCCTGGCAGCGGGAGCCGATGATGTTGACACTGTGGGTTATATCGGCGGCGGCGCGCCTGCAGCAGAGGATTGGGACTCCTTGGCGGCCGCGCCGTCGCCAGAGCTGCCAGACGATTGGGCGGCCCTAGCGGCAGGCGTAGACGAGCCCCCCGCCCCCGAGATCGGCAACCCGATCGGCGCAGAGAGCGTCGTGCCGTTGGCGGTGCAGCCGCCGAGGCGGAAGAGAGGTCGCCCTCGCAAGGCGCCCGCGGTGAATGCTACAGTTGTGAGGCGGCCGATGCTTCCAGTTCAAAAATCTCTACTGTGCGAGTTCAAGTGTGCTGCAGCGACGCCGCTCAAGAGGGCGTTGCAAGTGACGTATGTTCCAGAATTGTCCCGTGCAACTGTTGTCCCGAGAGTTATGCAAGGGTTTACCGTGCCATCGCAGTTTTTTACCCAATTGGCTTCTTCGTTGCACGCTGCAGCCTGTTGTTCACAGCGCGACTCGGACGTGGACAAGTATGTCGGGCATGTTTTCCAGGCCGACGGCCATGACAGAGTTATGAGCGACACGGCGTTGAGTGAACATCTCGGGGGGATATGTATGGTAAAACTTCGCAAGAGCAGGATTTGGACCGCAGCGGCCCTCCTTGCGCATGACCGCATGGAACGAATGGAGTTCGAATTGGCAATCGTAAAACACATTCCTGGACAGCATCTGTTGCAATATTTCGAGGACGTGCAGTACGATGAGACCCCGGTGGAAGCGACAATTGATACGTCATATCGTCACGTCTTGGACCTAATCCAGGACGATATTCCAGCAGCTCTCTTGGACAAAATACATGACGGCCAACTCGTAGAATTGAACGGCAAAGTTTCATATGGGACGTTCACGGTACCTCAATCAAAAGTTGTAAACAAGCTGTTGCAGACCAGATGCAGGCTAGCATGGACGTTTCAAATACCGAACGGGCGCATCATCAGCATCATGTCGCATGTTCTGTGCCCGTTGCATTTGTTGGAGCGCAATACAGGTGAAGTGATATGCAGAGCGCAGATAGAGGCGTCGGGCAGCAGCCGCGTGTCAGGTAAGTTTGCGATGGCTGTTCGAGGCGCGACCCTCGACCGAGCAAAGAGCAATCCTAAGGCAGAGCTCGGGTTCCTGAAGTCGAGACCTGGGTGGCACCAGTTCTCTTCTTGGTGCAGGCTCCATCTCTTCGCTACTATTGGTGGGTGGACCTTCAACTTCTTCCCAGAGCTGAAGGCTAATATTTCAGGTATGATACACTGTGCGAAATCAATTGAAGTTGGAAGCGCCAATGAGATGTTTGGCAAGTGTCTTCGGGATGAGATCAGGAGCAGCATCAGAATCGTTGAGGGCGCCTTGGATAACGAGGCGCTCATCTTCAAGCGGCATGCCATGTGGTTATTTTGTTCGCGAGGGACTGGGATTTTGGAGAAGAGGTTGCTGTTGTCTGCGATGCCGAATGGGGGTTGGCGGAAGCGCGACTGCGTCGAATACTACATTGACCCTGCCTCAGCATCGATACGGGACCCCGAGATGATAGCAGATATGTTGACGGCAGGTGTGTCGGCTGCATTGTTTTCAAAGAAGCTTTCGAAGTATAACCGCATGCGGTGGACTGGGCCAGATATCAGCACGGACGAGCAAGGTATATTTGAAGCGTGTCATGGTTTGTTGTCTCGAACTTATGTGCGGTATGCTCGGGAGTGCGGTGATAAGATTCCTTCGGTTTTCGACGATCGCCGCGGGCTCTTCAGATCGCTTGTTGATGGCGGTGCTCCTGGCGTATTGGCTGCTATTGCGGATAAGCTTCAGTTCCGAGACTATTCTGATGCCAAAAAGCCAAAGGGCGACGACGACGTGGACGACGACGAGGGCGGTGACCAGCAGCATGCACAAATCAACGCCAAGGAACGCAAGCTTGCTTTTGAATTTACACAGACTGACCCGCTGGACATGTTGGTACTGCAACGTCAGGCCATGGAGATCGTTCGGGTCCTGCTGGAACTTCAGTTTAAGGTTTCAGGTGACAGTTTCGAGCAACAACAACGCCAGAAGTTGGTGAATCAGAAGCTAAATCGTGAAGAACTTCGCCGCCAATACCGCCTGGCTGTTGCAGCAACTGGGGGGTTCGAACAATTGGCATACCAGAAAATCAAAATGATGTACGAGATACCTGAGATGTGGGCATTGATTTCAGACCGAAGGAACACAGTGAAGTTCAGATGTTTGATTTTTCGGGCACTGTCGCGGCTGGGGTGTGCAATTGAATACTACGTCGGCCAGCCGTCCAGAGGACGGCCTTTCAAGTTGTATACGCTTCTGAACGACCCTGGGCTGGCCGCAAGCATTAGGCACGACCCGCCATGCACGATGGATCCAGCTTCGAAAAATTTCCTCGAACATCATCCGACATTGGAGGGGCCGGTTGTGTTGGCGAAGTTGGAGATCCGCGCGATGTTGCACGGGATAGATATCGGGCCCACGGAGAGCAGACACGCTCACCTTCGCAGGCTGCTCACAGCAAAGTCGGTTCAAGTGAAAAGGATGTCAATGATTTCAGTTGGCTGCGAATGGGTTTTGCACCAGCATAGAGTTCGGAGCAAGACGATTGGGCTCATGAAAAAACGGCATGCGATCACCGCTGACGCCCCCTCCACCCAGAGGCGCATCAAGAAGAAGCCTGCTGCCGAGGACAGTCGACTTGAAAAGGTGGGCGAGGAAGGGGGGTGGGGGCATGGAATGTGAGATCGGCTGTGAGATCGATAGTGGGATCGGTTGTGAGATCGGTAGCCAGATTGATTGTGAGATCGGTCGAATGAGATCGACAATGAGATCGATAGTGAGATCGATAGTGTGATCGATCGAGTGCGACGTCGGCCCCTCCCCCCTCACCTCCTTATCATCCGAAGGGTGGTCGTATATATAGGGTTAGAGTTAGACTTGGAATTACGATTAGTGCGAGAGCTCGAGGAGGGGGAGACGACGGCGACGACTACGACCACGACGACGACAACGACGACGACGCCGACGACGACGACGACGACGACGACGATGATACGACGACGGCGACGACGACCACCACGACGACGACGACGTCAACGACGACGAGCTAGGACTATTATAGTTAGAGTAAGGGGTGGTCTCAACCATTTGTTTCTTTGTATTGTGTTCCTTCCCAGGGTAAATCAAGACCTCGGGCTGGTGGTGGCGGCGCCTGGAGGGCGTGCGTTCAGGAGGAGTGTGAAGGTAAGAAGGGCAGCGGTGACTTGGCTGCCATTGCACGCGCGTTTCGGTTGCTGGACCCAACAGAGAGACAGCGCCTCAATGAGAGGGGCACGCGAGCAACGGCTGCCCGTCGACGAGCTCGCAAGGCAGGGCTCAATGTCAGATGTGCTGCATTTGGTTTGCAATCTTCGGCTGTTCGTCGTCGCCTGGCCGCTGCGAGCAGGAAGGCTGTGCGCGAGTCCTTGGTTAAGGCCCACCTTTCCTTCAACGACAAACTCTCTGAGATCATGGCGCCTGGCGGCAATCTGAACGCCTCTTAACAGGATAAGGTTGCACTTTGCAGATCGATCACACGTTTTGAAAGTGCAAGGAAACGATCAGAAGAGCGAGCCGATACTGAGAGATTATGTGAATGGGAGAAGTTGCATGGAGTTGCTAGCATTGAGGAGTTAAGGAGCGCAGTTCCCGATCTGCCCGTGCACCGTCTCGTTCCTGTTCCTTCAGTTCACGGCAGTTGCTTTGAGTTCGTGCCAGAGAGCCATACGGCAGCGAACGCAGTAAGCTGGGCGGCCACTCAGAGGGGCTCGAACATCACCACGGCGTTTGTCAAGTATATGCAGGTCGTCAGTTCGCTCAAGCGTCATTCAGAGTGTCCGCCCATCGACACATCTTATGGCTCGGAGCCCAGGACGCACTTGACACCGTCTATTTGCCAACTTGCTGGGAGATGTATCTGCGCAGGTGATGGTCTTCGCCTGAAAGCTATGGTGTCGGCGCTGAAGAACAAAGTTTTCCAGGTTGTGTTCAAGGGTGATCGGCTCCTAGCTCTTCGTCGCGGCTTCGTGATCGTACGCCTCCAAGGTACCGAACCGCTGCCTCCCAGGGATCCCGACCTTGAGGTTGACGAGTTCCTCCACGTGGGCTTCAAGCTTATTACGCCTAACAAACTTTCTTACCAGAAGGTAGAACACGTTCGAGAAGGGCTTCCAGACGATCATATTTTCAGTCCTGATATGTTATACGTGAAGGCTCGCGCGCCCTCCAACACTTATGTTCGGGAATGTTTTTAGGGGAGGGGGCATGAGTGCCCGCGTAGTCGAGGGCCTAGGGGATTGGGCAGGTGGAGGGCCCAAGAGGAAATGACGGAGACTGGCGGGGTAGACAGGGTATGGAAGGAAGGGGGTGGACGGGGTTGGGAAGTAGCAGAGGGCCTCTAGGCGAGTGCGCGGGTCGTCGAAGGAATCGATTTTAATTTGGGGCCTTTCGCGGGCCGCCTTGTCACGAAATAGTTTAAATCGCTTCGGAGGGTAGGCGATGCTCACCGAGATCAGTTTCTGACCGTAGCGGGGCCCTCGCGGGTAGCCTCTGCTGCGCCCTCTGGCCGGAACGATTTGGGCAATGTCTTGTTTGTTTTTGGGGCCCCGTCGTGCGAATGCAGCCTGTTGCGTCAGAAATTTAGGTTTATTGGTGAACCTTCTCTCCATTGGAGCCCCTCTTGGAACCGTGCTGGGATGCCAGGGCTGGGGGCCATCTTGAGATCTTGAGGCGGATCCGAAGGTCTTTGGGTCTTTGGGGGTAGCGTGTCATATCGTTTAGCTTGCCTTGGGACAGGCTGGCAATCGCGGTGACATAATGGGCCGTAGGCACGGCAACCAACAGTTTAAATTGTTGCCAAGCCTGCTCAGGCGACCTCGGAGTTCCAGACGGAGTATGATGCATTGGAGTTTCTTCTTTCGTGTTCAAAATGGCGTTGCATCTTCTATGAGTTGGACGACAGCTGTCGGCCCACAACCTCTGTGCTGCCACACATAGTGCCAGCGATCGCTCAGAAGTACGGCGACTCTGTTGATCATATGTTTTGGCCACCGCCGCCGAGGAAAAAAGCTGGGAAAGCATGTGGCCCAGCTCCAGGTGCAGACGCAGAAGAAGCTATACACGCTGCCATTGCCGATGCAGCTGCTGAGGGGGAGGACCCTGAGGCGCCTGGAGATC